TTCTCGGGCATCTCCCAGAACCTTGGATCCTTCTGGACCAGGGCAAAACGCTCATCATTGTCCTGCTTCTTTTTGGACGACATGTTGGGGAAATCTGCTGCAGAGAAACGTCAGGATCAGAATCTGTGTCCTCGACTAACTTATGGGTCATTCCCATCTGTACCGGGTCGGCCCGGGCCGGGTAGCCCCAGTCGGCCCCAGCCTGGCCCGGTTGATTCCACACATCCTTGTCTTAAGCCCATGTGGGCTGATTCTACCCACCAATCAGAGGCTTGCTCTAATGGAAGGTGTGAATTTGCTGTCAGCAGTGGGTGTGTTGGCCCTGGTCGGCCTGAAGCAGACCCCCTCGAGAAGAGGGCTGAGAATGAGCCTTGGTTGGCCCGGAAAAATACCAGGCCACCCAGATATGTAAACAACCTACGCTACCCGGCCCGGGCCGACCCGGTACAGATGGGAATGGCCCATTACAACAGACTTCATGGACCAGCTAACCAGGATCTGCAGGCGGTTTAGATTCATCCCTGAATGGTTCAACATCAGCTGGTCTTTACGGACCAGGACCAGGAACCCACTGGTGTGGAGACACTTCAACATCTTTAGAGTTAATTTAAACTGATGGACTGCTGTTTGTTATAATTAAGATTCATGATTGAAAACAATAAGTATTTATTATTATTGCTATTATTTTCCATAAACAACCATTTAAACAAATAAAAAGCTGATTTTTTGCGTCTACTTGCATCCCAGAGACATGTGGACACACATTCTGATGGGGGTACGAGCCGTGGCACAACACCTGACCAGTTATGTACAACCACATTAGTGTTATGCAGAGATGAGTTCCCGTTGATAAGCGTGTCCAAGTGCGACCTGGCGGTTTAAACGCTGGATCTCTGCAGTGGGACTGGCTTAGCAGGGTTAGCTAGCTAAACCCGGTTAGATTAGAAACAAACGGCTCGTCTCCCTAAGTCTCTCATCTGTGTTTGCAGTTAAAACCGCGCTAGACGGCAGGATAAAAACAAACGTTAGTCCGGGAAAAAGCAAAAACGGCAGAAAAACACAACAGTGTGGAGTCCGTTTGAGTTAAAATAAGCTAAAAACACAGTACCTTTAATCTGCGGGCTCCTCACACACGTGTTTTCCCAGCATGCATCGCTGACCTGACCTTTCTGGAGTCCCACCCCTACATGAGAACGGCAAGCAGAGTGGGACAAAAAGAGCAAACGTCGACTACATACGCACAAGAGATAAAACGCTAAATTAATTTCATTAATTAATCTGTTTTCAAACAATAACATGAAGCAGTGAATAATAAGTTACTGCCACACGTTCACATCCGTGTTAGACAGGTTTTTGTGAGAGTTCGGATCCAGCCCAGCAGGATCCGCCGCCATGTTTCCAGTTCCACCAAAGGTTGCTCCCGCTGACATGTGCGAGTGTTTCTGGAGGACAAAAGCAGAAACATGAACATCAGAGTGGGTCTGAGGCTCCTACAGACATCCGCATCCTCCTCAGGCAGCTGGATCTGGTCCTCCTGGTGCCGCAGTCTCCGGCCTGGGCTCAGGTCCGGCCCCAGCAGGGGGATGTCTGGGTCAGGAAGGGGCACCATGAATGTGTTCAACAGGGAGATGAAGAGGAAACAGAAGAGCTGGGCGGCAT